TCATAATAATAATGTAATAACAGGTTTGTCATATCTAACAGCTACCAGAAGCAGCGCTGACCTCTTGGTGATGCGTGTGGGCTGCTGCAGCACTCGGTCCAGCTCCAGGCCTTCGCTGTCCAGCAGCCGCCTCAGAGCAATGTCAGCCAGCTGACCAATGACCCCGAAGGCCTCATCCAGGTTTAAGAACATGGAGAATTCTCTTTGTCGCTGCCGCGTGTTCACCCGGATGGCCTCTGTCATGAGACCGGTGGAGACCCGCTCCAACCGTGTCACCTCCGCCCAGGGAATCACAAACTTGACTGGGGGAGGAAGAAGAGAAGGAATATTTGAGTCACATGAACTGACTGCATATCATGGGAACTACCAGAACAGCAAAAAACTTTATGGACATCTACTGTTTCCAAACAGAACCTCTGAACCACAAAACCCACCTAAATGTTTTGAAAGGCATGCAACCTTTTTTCTTCTTCTTTTTTTTCATTTTTTAAATCGCCAAAATGACAATTAAAATTTTCGATCTAACCATGTCAGACAATGTGAGAAATTGAACCTAATCTAAACTTAAAAATAACTTTATTCTATATGTGTCAATTAAAACATTTACTAAACATTAACAGTTTACACAAATCAGATGCTGTAAAAGACGAAAAATTCTGCGGCCCACGTCACAGCCAAGAATCCATGAGAGACTCAACTGTGACCAGCAGTCTTGTCATAAAAATTAGGCACTTGTTGGATGTACTGGGTTGAACTGCAGGATGTGCTTGCACAAAGCAACTGTGCTGAACTGTAAGTATGGAAACATGTTTTTTGTTCTTTGTTTTTTTTTTTTTTTTTTTTTAATTATTCGAGCCAAAAATGATTAAACTAGAAATAATCTTTAGGTTTTTAACCGTACAACAGCCCTTAAACTAATAATGACAGAAGTGCTGTTCTGTCAAGAAAAATAACAAAATCTAAGCTTAAAATCCTAGTTTTTCTTTAAAATCACTGTATTCAATGTGTCATTTAAAAACTTACCATAAATGAACAGTATACAGGTATCAGATGCTGTGAAATACTAAAAAATCTGCGCTCCTTGTCACAGCCTGACATGCAGACTGTACTTACACAGAGAAGATTAAAAAGAAAGGAAAAATGAAAGTAAAATAAAATATTTATAGTATGTTGAGCTTCCTCTAATTACAAGTGTTAGTGAGATCTGTGGGCACTTGGAAAAATGTTTTACACATTGATACCATTTTGTTTTCAATTTTTATGATATAGTAAATAATTGAAGAAACTTGTGTTTAGATTTTTTTATGATTTATTGGATTATAACTGGGCTGGTGGAGCAGTTGGTAGCACTGTTGCCTCACAGCAAGAAGGTCACCGGTTCGCATCCCGGGATCTTTCTGCATGGAGTTTGCATGTTCTCGCTGTGCAGTGTGGGTTCTCTCCGGGTTCTCCGGCTTCCTCCCACAAGTCCAAAAACATGTTGAGGTTAATTGGTGATTCTAAATTGTCTGTAGGTGTGAATGAGAGTGTGCTTGGTTGTCTGTCTCTAAGTGTAGCCCTGTGATAGACTGGTGACCTGTCCAGGGTGTCTCCTGCCTTCACCCTGAGTCAGCTGGGATAGGCTCCAGCCCCCCATGACACTAGTGAGGATTAAGTGGTGTATAGATAATGGATGGATGGATGATTATAACTATAATGCTACATAAAAGAGATTTCTGAGTTCTCTCTCCTTCTAGTCATGGTTGTTCTGTTTCCATAGATGTGCAGGACTTTATGTTGCAGTGAAAAATGAGCCCACAGTGAGGAAAAATGTGACGGAAACAAAAAAGCGTAGGCCCTAAGCATGGCATTTCAAATGTTGATTAAAATATAAATTGATGGTATGCATTAATAATCTGTGGGGGATGAGTCACTGACCAACTTTGAGTCAGTCGGTCTTTTGGTTTGAAAATCAGAGCCTCACTTTGGTGTACAGACCTTCCTTGCCCAGCAGGAAGGAGTAGAAGGCCACATGGTTGATGCTGAGGTAGAGGAAGCCCTGCCGAGGCACCCGGCCCTTCCAGCAGCAGCAGGAGTAGTACGTCACCAGCTTCTCTGACGATGGGAGGCCAAAGTGCAGCTCAAACTTCCGTAGCGCCTCCCTGAACTTCTCCGGATCGTCCTCCTGGGCGGCCTGGCGACCCCGAACCTCCTCCGCGATGAGGCCCTGCAGACGGCAGAACTCATTACATGGACTTGCATCATCCAAGTGCAGGAATTCAGACTTCAAACTCTTCAGAAAGCAATGCAGCGAGGCTTTGTTTTGATTCCACAGCCTTTTAAAAAATCTAAAACCTTCCTCTGAGAGTATCTGCAGGTTTCCCACCTTGACTTTTCCTCTGACAAAGCTGGCGACATCCTCCTTGTTCTCAAACACAGACAGGGAGTGAAGCAGGTTGTGGACCAGCCAGTCCCAGTGCTTGTTCACCTCCTCTATGACAGCTCCTGATGAAATAAAACAGGGGAGGAGTCTAACAGCAGCGCAGACAAAAGGATCAGTATAGGTGGAGAAATGACGGCTGTGCTCACCGCTGGCGATGACCCAGCTGATCTGGGAGCCGGGGATCTGCAGGAGGATGCGGAAGGGGGTGACCCGGGCGTTGGAGTCCAGGACCGTGTCCAGCGCCCCCACCAGGAGCCCTGCACGGACGGAAAAACAGAGAATTTAAATTATGTATCCAAGAAACACTTTAGCTGGTTGTGTCTAAAATAATAGTATTTAGGTGTTAATGTCTGTAGGTGCATTTGAATTTTCTTGAGAAATTATTACAAACTGGACTTTAAATTCGCCAAAACCCAGTAAACAAGCACAAAGCAGTGTTTATATTTTCTGACAACAGCACAATGAGTTGCTTGAATTCACGCAGCAGTGAAAGAACAATTAGATTTACAGCTAAAGACCGACACATACAAAGAAGTAGAACAACTATGTCTATTTATTCAATCAATCAATCAGACTTTATTTATATAGCACTTTTCATATTAATCAAATATACCACAATGTGCTTTACAGATAAAAGGAATAACAATGCAATAAACCAGTAAAAGAACTCCACACACCCAACATCATGTCATAAGTCACGGACTCAAAACCACAAGAATAAAGGAACTGAGGACACGCTACCATAAATAGTGCACGCAATGAGGAAACACCAGATAAGATAAAATGAAATTAAATAAATCTCTAAAGGATAAAAGCTAAAGGATAAAATAGAAACTGAACTTTTTTATTTAAATGAAAAAATGAAGTAATTCTGGCTGCTCAACAGATATGGGTCATAATAACAAAATCCTGCCTCACTCTGGGTTTTTGTTCTGACTTAGTAAAGGTGTTGGGCCATGACAACAACTTCAACAAGCCTTTGCATTGATTCTAAAAGTCTCTGGGTCTCTACTGGAGGGATGAAGCACCATTGTTCCAAAAGATATTCCCTCATTTTGGTGTTTTATGGAGGTGCTAGAGAACACTGGGCCAATTTCTTCTACAGGACTGTGACTGCATTCATTGATTTCTGGTTCACTATGACTAAAGACATCATCATCCTCCTGGAAGAGACCAATCCCATCAGGATGGAAATGTTTCATCAGAGCCAATCACTCAGAACAACTTTGTGTTGATTTGCAGCAAGTCTATTCCTTTAGGGAGACAAGTGGATCCAAAAAATGCCAGCAAATGCCAAATCATCTGTGTACATGCTGAGGCCTGTTTCAATATTCGTTTTACTTTTCCTAATATCATTTTGAGTCATTTAACTTCACTTCCTAAACTAATTCAGTGACACAACCGTACTCACAAAAGCTCAAGAATATCAGCAAAATCAGCCTTGTGAGTATGTGAAAGTCATTTTTCAGTGATATTGTCTCTCCGTGGGCCTCAGAGTGAACAGAAAGGCAAACAGTTCACACATAGTCGGCAATACTTCACAGCTGCAAGACAGAAATGCACCAGCGGGCCTTAAGCAGACAGAGACGACTCTGCTGGAAACAAAAAGAGACAAGACGACAAGGGAAATTTATGGGTTTGCTGCGATATTTATGATCAGACTGACTGAATTTACTGTGGATGCCATTTCTTTAACCACAGGATTTAAGTGAAAACACAACTGATGTTTTACTGACTTGCAGGATTTCACAAAATCAATTTTCATTCATGTTTGTTATTTGCTAATTATAGACGGCTGTACTACATTTTATTGATAAAATGATGCAAACAGTTCTATACCTTCATACAACAGTAATACCAGCACCAGCATTAGCAGCTGCACATTTTCAGCCTCCTACAGTCAAAGTTAGACATTAACTTGATTCAAGAACTGGTGTAATCATTGCCCACATTAAAGTGACTATCATAAAATCAGCCTCAAATGAAGATGAAACAATGGTTGGCTGAGCTGTGGGCCACATAAAAACTGTTGGCCACATAAAAACATGTCTGCAGTGGAATCTGTTCTGCAAACATACCGTACTCAAAGGCTACATAAAGCAGCAAAAACAGGTACTTGGTGAGTCTCATTTGAATTTGAATGTGTTCAGGCAGGTAATAAACTCCTTTCTCTTCATTTGACAACTAAAACAGTCCAACAGTTGAGTTTTATTACTAAAAATCCAGCGAGAAGTCTGTTAAAATGAAAGTCAGTGTCACTTTCCACAACAGGGATCAGCTCTACAGATGTTCAGAAGACTCAAACTGAGCCCTCGGCACAGATAAAGTCGAATGAATTCATGCATTTTAAACACCGAGTGAATAGAAACACACAGATCCACAGCAGCTGAGCAGCCTGAGGCTCTAACAGGGTCTCAAAAGGACTACTGTCATCAGGATTTCATCTTTCTAAACCACAGCTCATCTGCATCACACTTTTCCAATAACTACTGTCTTGGCGGTGCTTTGACAATAAAACTCCGCAGAGAAAAAACACACAAAGGTGGCCAGTATTCTGACTTCATAAACAGAAAGGACTGTAAAGTCCACCGTGAAACTGTGAAGCGCTCAGCTCATTTTAAATGTTCGCCTTTGTGACACATTTGTAAAGGATAACATTTCTGAACTAATGAGAATTAGCCCTCCTGTGTCACACTGCTTTGTTCTGAATGAGAACACAGAGGAAATGCTTGACCATGTGGCAGCACATGACCGTCCGTGGTAGTCTTCTGCTTGCTTGTTTGATTTTTTTTTCACCCACAACTCCCCGTAATTATGTCCTGCCTTTGAGCTTAACCAGGATGAATACTCGAACCACAGTTTAAACACAACGCCAAGGGTAAAATCACTGTAAAATACATTAAGTGTTCCCAAATAATTTAAGGAAATGCTCGTAGTCTCAGATAGGACCAGCAATAACTACACACTTCTTTATTTTGAAAATGTCCATCCATCCATTATCTATACACCACTTAATACTCACTAGGGTCGCAAGAAGGTAAACACCTATGCTACCAGTATAACTTAAAAACATCTAATAAGTTACTGATTTAAGCAAGATTATGTGCAGACATTCTTCCTCATGATAAAATTAACTGTATATCACTTATAAAAGTTGCAACGCCACGAAGAATGTGACCAGGTGCTACCTTTCACATTAACTAACCAATAGTCATCAAGCTCAAACTTTGCATAACCACGCCCCCTTTGTTTACTCTCTACAGCTGCTTCTGCGAACTCTAAAATGTCTCTAAAACACACCAGATGTTCTGCTGTTGGCTGCAAGAGTGAACACAAGAGTCTTCATGCACTCCCAGCATCTGAGGAACTGAACATCCACTGGATTATTTTCACTTTTGACAGCAATATCTGCACATTAAATAGGAAAATCATTGTGCTAATATGGCTAAGGCTACCGGTAGCATTTCCACAGGTCAGAGTTCTGTGAAAATTGTAAAGCGGAGGGACATTCAGAGATGGTGGAAACTTGTTGTGCTTCAGTGCAACATAAACTTAGCTTGTGTCTACATCTGTTTACTTCTCTCCTGCTCTTTGTGCTTGCATAAACTGCATTTCAAAACAACTAAAACGCAGTCTGTTAACCCTTCATGGTAACCAGCAGTCACTTCATTGCTATCTCCCAAACTGCGGCTCTGCATCGCTACTGACACTCACAACACACATGAGTTAAAAACGATGTCTGTGCTGTGAAATCAGCAATATTTTCATGTAAATTGATCAGGAAAGACAGGAAAATGTGAAGTGTTAGAGAATCCTGGTTATCTGTTTTGCCTCACACTGTCAATCAAAGGAGGCGGACAAGCATCAAGTCTTCAGTTCTCAGAGCAAAGCAGTCTATTTAGAACCCTAAAACCAGCGACTATTGTCATTGTAAAATAAATCATCTTTGCAATACTTTAAGCTGAAAAATTAAAAGTAACATTATGGAGACATGTGAAACTTGAAAACTGGCCCTTTGAAGTTTAAGACAAACTATTAATCTGATACAGGATTTTGTTCTGTCTAAGTCAGCGCTATCAGCCAGATCAGCATCCGGCCACCACAGCCATGTACAAACCTGCATCTCAAAGTCACGACTCAAAGCCATGAGGGCAATCAGATCTCTATCTCTGCATTTAACTGTGATGTCTCTGGTTTGGTACAAACACAAAGACAATTCTATAGCAAGTGGCACATGAGCAGAAGAAGAGTTCCCCCGATAAAAGCTGCTGCGAAACTGCCTCAGTCTGCCAACAAGAGCTACTAACCCTGAAATATTTCATTAGAGTGGGATTCACTGGTGACATTTACAGTCCAAATGCTGTTCAAGAGGCATTTTCACTTATGGAGATGTTGTTTTCTTATTCCATAAAGCTCATATTCAGAGTACATATTTGACTCAGCTAGTTTAGCCATGTTCCTGGTGGAACCTTCAGCAGGTGGAGATGTACAAAGATGTCTTCTGAAACAGACAGCGCTGGATCTCAGCCAAACATAAACCACATCTTAGGAGTCAAATCCAACCCGCCTTAGGCTGCAAACCCGGCCGCCTGGCAACACAAAACCATCCGTCTGTCACCGCAAAACCCAGAAGGGGTTTACACTGGTAAACTTTCCAAAAAAGGAGAGTCGGAGTGAATCATCGCCTCGGTCACATTGTGGGGGAACACAAGGCTACAGTCGACCTTTACGAGGCTCGGGGAGACAAAAAACAGAGATCTGCTTTCACATTTGCGAGACTGCGACGTCCGTTTGTCCTCGACTGCATCAGAATTCATTATCTGCATCTCATGCTTTGTTTCGAGTCTTAAATTGACCGTTCAAACGCAGGAATGTAAAAGGCGAGAAAAGGTTGCTTTAAAGAGAAAAGGAGTTGGTTAGAAGTGAAAACAAACAGTGGTATGAACAGAATGATCTGCTGCAGATGTGAAGTCGCCCTGCCCTGCTCAGAAATCCTGCTCAAAGTATGTCATCACCGGTGCGATAAGGCCCAAAGAACTCAATTTCAACTTCTGCTTTCTCCTCAATAGCAGGAGAAAAGAAGAAGCCCAGCCTGAGCCACCACTGTGCTGTTTTCTCCGCCTGTGTGGCAGAAATACCAAAGCGAAGGTCACTTAATTAGTTAATGTTGAACACAGCGACAACAGGACTTGACCCTTTGACCCCGCTCGCTATGGGAACAGCGGGAACAAACACAAACACAAAGTAAACCCCGGCCAGGAAGTTCCTACTATTCTATTTTATGAGAGCAGCTCTGTCCGGGTTTCTCCATGGGGGGGGGAAAGAAAGAAGGAAGAACATAAAGACGACACTGTATCAACTGTTTGCTCGGGTTTTAATGTAATTAGACGTCACTCATCGCTGCCAAGCAGAAGGCTTCCAGCGCGAGACTGAAGCCTGTCGGACACATTCAAAGAGGAAACTGGAGAGGAAGCAGCAAACGGGCCGCGGTGGCAGTGGGAAGAAGAAGTCCAACGGGCTGCAGCTCAAACACAAAAACGCAGACAGAACCGGTCCAGAAGAGTGACAATGACATAAATCACAACGCGGCGGTGGCAGAGATTCTAACCAGCTTCCACAGAATCCCACAACCCTGCTATTCTCCTGCAGGAAATTACAGTGAGAGGGAAGTTCTCCAGACAAAAGTGCAGATTTAGATCAACACAAACACACACGAGTCCAACAAAAGACACAGTAAAGTGAGACTGAACAGGGATCTTGTGATGTTTGTGGCATTATTGTCGCCTAAAGAGTATTTTCCTCTTGAATGTTATCCTTACTATAATAATGCAAACCTTGTTTTTTTTCATCAGAGCAACAGCAATTAATTAATTCATCTGTAGGTTGTCAACTTTCAATTGAAGCGCCAACTATTTTGATAACTGAATAATCAGTTTGAGTATATTTTTGAGCCTACATTTTCTTTTTTTTTTTTAGTGTTGTCTGGTTTCTTTACTCCTCTGTGACAGCACACTTCTTATCTTTGGAACTTCTGTCAGTTTTCCAGGTCACAAAAACACACGTGTCCAACAAAAGACACAGTAAAGTGTGTCTGAACAGGGATCTTGTGATGTTTATGGCATCATTGTCACTTAAAGACTTTTTTCCTTTTGCTTTTCCTCCAATTTTCCTCTTGAATATTGTCCTTACCGTAGATTTTAAACCTGTTTTTCATTAGAGCTCCAACAATTAACCAATTAATCTAACACAACCACTAATCGATTAAACAAGAAAATCACTGACACATTAGTCAACAAATTATTCCTCATTAAATGCAATCCCAGTTTTCATATTATGTGTATCAAACAAAAAAACAGACTTCTGGTTTTCAAATGATTGAATTTAACCAAATTATTTAACCTTAATCAAGTTTTAAGAATATTAATGATGGGATTTTAACTATAATGTACAGAGAATATTGAATATAATGTTGCTTGTTTTGTATATTCAACAGGCCAAAATGCTCATTTACAAAGAGACAACGTAGATGACAGTTATAACAATTGAATTTTGGTTTGTTAAACAAAAGACTCGCCGAAGTAATACGTTAAAGCACGTTTGTTGGTTTTGTATCTTGTGGTTTTGTCTAGAACTGTTGAAAGAGTTATAACCACTTCTCTGTGTCCATTTCAGGGAAATAGAGCTTCAAGTTCAAACTTCACTTCTAATCTTGGCTGCGAGACTTGTATTGGAGGAAAAAAAAAAGCTGTAACTCAAAATGATCAGTGCAGGCTTTGTGGGAACTGATGTGTTTTTGGTTTCGACACAAATATATTATACGCTAGTTAAGAGCTGGAGCCTAAATAAAAACCTGCGAGGGGCCACTTAAGTTAAATTAACTTGCCACAAAGTTTTTTAGGCCTAACTTCAAGGCATCTGTTGCCATAGTAACACACAGCCTGCAGGCCAGGGATGTAAATCAGGGGCTTTCCTCTGAACCATGTGACTGCAACAATCCAGGTTTCTCCTAAATGTTGATTTCCCAGAAAACTGCGTGACTCTGGGACCCAGCTTCAGGACAAACCCTCCTCTGGACGCCTCCTCATTGACCTGACATCTGCCTGCACCTTGACTTTCCAGAATTCTTGCTGTTTTTTTGGTAGTTTTCCTGACAGCTGGCCTCCCCTCTGGTGTCACCTGTGAATCCTGCCTACACGGGCCCCTCCTCTGCCTGTTGTTGTTGTTGTTGTTGTGTTACTCTTGTTGTTGTTTACCTGTGATCCTGCTGGTGGGCTCTCCGTGGCCTCTCCTCCGCTGCAGCAGGAAGAAGTCGTTGCTCCTCTCGGTCACCCAAAGCTTCAGAGCGTTTTTCAGCAGAACTTCCTCCGGGTTCAGCCACATTTCTTCCAGCAGGGAGGGACCGGGGGAAGCCCTCCGCCGTGTCGGTCTCTGCAGCGGCAAAGTTTCCTCCGTCCGTCCGTCCTCCGGCTCGGCAGCGGCCCGATCCGTCCTACAGCGGCGGGTTTTCGGGCTGATCCATGACTCTCCTGCGCTCCCAACAGCTGCAGGCTTCGGACTTCCTTCGCCTCCGTCCGTCTGCTCCCTCACGCCCGATCTGCAGCAGCTGTACACACCGCACAGAGATCGTGTGCGCACGAAGAGCAGCCACTCTGGAGCAGCCTGCAGGGCCGGCAGGGTGGAGGGAGGTCTCAATGAATAAAATGTTATGTTGCTGCAAAATTGTTTATGGGTTGATAACATGGGTTTTATATGCTTTAAATAAAATGTGTCTGCAATTGCAAAAATCAATAAATAAATAAGTTTTTTTTTTTTTTTTAAATCTTCTTTACATATGTACAGTCGTCCTCAAATGTATTCATTAATGAAAAGGCAAACTTCACAATAGTCACTCAAATAACGACAAATTGAAAACAGTAATAATAAATAAAAAATAGCTAAATTGCAATTTAGTGAAATAAGACATTGCTTTTGAATGTTGTTGAAAAGAATATTTTTTTAAAAACAAACAAACAGACAAAACTGTCCTGGACAAATTGCTGATGAGCAGTGGGCCAAAATCAAACTAGCTGTCAACAGGTGCAGAAGTCTGACAGTTACAGAAAACACTTAATTACAGTGATTGGCTCAAAGGGTTATTCAATAAAGTATTAGTTTACGGGTCCCATCATGCTTGTTTGCTGTTTTTTTGTTTTTGTTTTTGTTTTTGTTTCTTCAATATTTCTATTGAACCACAATTCAAAAGCAAAGTCACGATTTTCATTAATTTTTTATTTATTGTTACTTTTGCAATTTTCAACTTGTTTCAGTGACAGCTGTTTTTTTCCTTCTTTAATGGGAGGATATGAATAAATTGAAGAACGACTGTATATGCATCATACTTCAATTGCATTTGTATCTATGATGTTGTTTACTTCTTTGTTGTCTTATATTGTATGATATTGTACTCTAAAGCACTCTAACTCTGGTATAGAAAAGTTAAAAGAAAGAAAGTTTATTATTATTATTATTATTATTGCTAACATATATATGTATTTTTCTTGTGACACAAACATCTCCCAGAATCACCAATAACTGACAAAAATTGAGGTTTTACTTTCTAAAATTTTGGAACAATGATCTATGATCTATGAAAACAAATAAGACACATCTAGAGCGTTTGTTTGTTTGTTTACTCTGCCACAAATATATCCCAGAATCATAAATAACATAAATAACTTGGGGGGACACATTTTGGTGTGTGCTTTATTTTATATTGTTATTAAAATTGAGGGTTCACTTTCTAAAATTTTGGAATAATAATCTATGATTGTGAACAAAAACAAATAAGACACATCTAGAGTTTTTGTTTGTTTGTTTACTCTGCCACAAATATATCCCAGAATCATAAATGACCTGGGGGGGACACGTTTTGGTATGTGCTTTATTTTATCATCAATAATCTCAAACAAAGAAAAAAAAGAAGACAAAAAAGCATATATGTATGTATGTATATATATATATATATATATATACACACACACACATATACATCTTGACACAAATATAAAACCCAGAATCCTCATTGCCAATAATATAATGTAAAAAACATCTCTTTTTTTTAAAAAAAAAAGCAAAGAAGATAAATTATAATTACAGCTAAAAATTCTCAATGACTCACTCTTGTAAATTTTGCTGTTGTTAAAAATGTCCAAAATAATTTTGCTTCTGCAGTTTAAACTGTTTTTTTGTTAAGAAGAATTGCTTTACTATACAGCGATTTTTTTGGTTTAAGTCTCTACAAATAATAATTATTTTTTATTTTTGTTTAATTTAAGATATAGATACATAAATTAGCCATAAATTAAACTGACTTACACATCATACTTACATACTTCATCTGCAATTCTGCACATTAGATGCCACAAACATCACTTTACACGGCTTATTTATATGTTTATATTTCTGCACATCTCTGTCCACACTACCTATTTATATTGTTATATTATCTGCACATATCATTCTGTGTACATATCATCACTATTTGTATATGTGCAAGTCATGTGCAATTTCATTATACACTGTATAAAGATAATAAAACAGATTCTAATTCTGATAAATTAAGCCACAACTTCAGTCTGAAGACAACATAACATCTTAGTAATTAAAAAGAAAGAAAAGTAAAGTTGGTTGAATTATTTAAAAAATGAATACAGAAGTCTTTCCTAGAAAAAAATGCATGAAGCGACCTTTTTATTTTATTTTATTTTAAATTTTTGGACCAGAGCATGATGTGTGTGGTTCCCAGAAAACAGGTCAGTGTGAGACCTCTTCATTTTACTTCCTTCTCTTCAGCATATCTTCTACTTTCGCTTCCACTTCCGGTAGAGCCTCAGCTCCTTCTGTGATTGGACGATCAACTGACACACAGTCCAGGTGCTCAGTACACAATTATC